GTTGAAGTCCACCCGTCTTCAAGTTGCCAAGGTTCAGAAACACTGATTTAGAAGGAGCAACTGGTCCACAATGCAGTGGTGGATGTTCCACATCACGCACACATAACACCTCTGCTCTGTGAGCTACTGTGGCTCAAAGTGCTGGTTATCACATATACATAGCATAGAACCAGGGTACTTGTGGGACCGCCCGTCTCCAATGGTTTCTGCTCGCCCCACCAGAACCGACAGAGAAGGCATGATCCAGGTCCCTTCCATCAAGCCATGGCAGCTTGCGGGACCCAGCGCTGCACCTTCTCTGTTGCAGTGCCTGCCCAGTGGAACAGTACCCCCCAAATCTGTTTGCCTTCTGTGGGGCATTAAAGACATGTGTGCATTTGGGCCAGGAACTTAGGTGAGCCCTGGTGGTTAGTTTTTTAATGGTTGTGGGGGTTTTTTAGGGTTAGGGTTAGGGTAAGATGGAATGATTTGCTAAGATGGAATGATCTGGACCTCTGGCCCATGATATATTGATTGATTGTGGTTGTAATTTCTTTTTTTAATAAGTCCAGTTGTTCTGTTTTGTTTTTCTGGTTTCAAGTCCTTGTGTGGGGCCCAAAGTCACAGTAGTACAAGGGGTGGCCGTATCAATTCTTCAAACAAACAGATAATTAAAGATTCCCCAGCATTGCTGCTGGAAGTTGAGTTGACCTATAACGATGCTATCCTTGAGTGTGGACTTCAGACAATAAAGACAATTTTGGTTAGAGGCCTGTTTTGTTTAGCGGTATCAACAGGCATGGAGCTTTGGAAAATACCAGAAGCCAGATCTCTGCCCCCAGAAGGTTACAATCTAAAATGCAATAACATAAGAAGGCTCACGGTAAAAAGCAAGGGTAGAAAGGTAGCCTTTCTCACAGATGTTTTGGCGTACTGAAAAATTGTGCTAGGCAGCTTTCCTCAACCAGGCCCCCTCCAGATGTGGCTTGGAACTAAAATCCTCATAATTTCCATCCAGAGGAGCTGTTGCTGGCTGGGAGCGACAGGCAGTTGGAGAGTACTGGGTTGGGGACTTCACCAGCCCCTAGGAACTGAGTGAGGGTCTATTTTTCAAAATAGCTTTGTTCATATAACACATCTGATTATCAGTTAAAAGCTTAGCAACTGCGCAGGCATAACTTGCCAAGTTTGGTTAGCGCTCATCTTTTCTGATTTTTTGGACCGTCGTTAAGTTGCACAAACCAGTCCTGACAGTTTCAGGTTCCCTGGATGGCACAGATCCAGAAAGCGGATTAATTCAATAGACAAGCTGGGCATAACTGCATGAATGCAGCAATTGTTTCAGACTTCCCACAACCTGCTTTGCATTTTAAGGGGGGGGAAAGGGAGAACAAGGCAATAAGGAGAGTAATACAAATAATCAGCAAGGTTTGCGTGCAAAATGCCAGGTTCTCTCCTAATAACCTTTGCAGGGTGATGGTGAGGATAAAAAGCAGCGGGAGGGAGGGAGGGAAGGAGGGAGAGAAGCATCTGTTCCGGTCCAGAATGCTTAAAGAAAAGAGCTAAAATGAACCAAGAAGGAAGTGTAGGTTTTACGGCCTGCCTCCTAAAGATGCACAGTGGGGTATATTTAGGGCTGTCTCAAAAAATAAAATAAAATAAAATCCAGATTGTATGGACTGGAGTCCAGTCAGCACTTACCAGATTTTCAAACAAACCAGTGTTTCTTAACCTTGGCAAATTTAAGCATGCTGGCTGGAGAATTCTGAGTTCCACCCATCTTAAAGCACACTGGCTAGGGAATTCTGGGAGTTGAAGTCCACACGACTTAAAGTTGCTAAGGCTATGAAACACTGAAATAAACAGATCACAGAGACATCCTTCCCCAAAGATGCTGGAACTACAACTCCCAGCCTGCCTTTGGAGCTCCAGCTCCAGGAAAAGCTGCAGTATTGTACAGGAAAGGGATTTTGGCTCCTGGTTTGTTTGGTTTTTTTTGCCCAACCCTGGAGATAAAATCTCACATCCAAAAAGCTTTTGCCCGATGGGGGATAAATTCAGACAGACAGGTCTTGCAAACTTTTAGGAGTTGACAGCTCAGCTGCCAAATATTGCAGAGATGCATCATGCAGAATGAGCTCAAAGATATCCTTGGCGTTGTTGCAGAACTCATTGGCGGGCAAAAATGTTAGGTGGGCAAAAAAGGCACAAGAGCCGTGTTTTGTTCTGTTTTTTAGCACTTGTAGAAAAATTCTCCGCATCTCGTGTTGAGGTATGGTTTGTTTAATGCTACCCGAGAGAGCAAATGACATCACCCGCACCGTCACATCATTGGGCGCCTGACACGAATTAACTGCAGAGCAAAGTGAACGTGAGATGAATCACTAGAGAGCAGATGACGTCACCTGCATTGTGACATCACTGGGCACCGGCGTGAGCTGTGCAGTTTGACACACAAACCACGCCACTCATGAGGTGTGCTATGACCTCGCCCACATGACATCATCATGGCTTGTCACCAGGCTTCAACCAGCTTGTCAAGCATAAGCCACGGTTTGCAAACCACAATGCCTGGATTCAAACCCAAATAAGCACCTTCTGGACAGTCCCCACCATCTTCCTTGGCAAATCCTCTCTGGGGGCATAAAGCAAACAAGCTGACATTATGGTGCCACCTTTGGCCCACATTGACACCATTTTTTTCTCCCTTTGCAGTTTCTCCTTCCTTCCTTCCTTCCTTCCTCTCCTCTCCTCTCCTCTCCTCT